TCTTTACTGTGGGGGTGACTGAGCACTGGAAACAGTTGCCCAGAGAGGTTGGGGAATCTCCCACCCTGGAGATATTCAAAAACCATCTGGACAAAATCCTGGTTCATGTGCTCTAGGAGTCCCTGCTTGAGCAGGGTGGTTGGACTAGATGACCCTCAGAGATGCCTTCCAACCTCAAGCATTCTGTGATTCTTTAATGTCAAAATAAGCAATTTTTGCCCTTGCCCATTTTCAGTGACAGTAACAATGGTCAACAACAAATGATGTGCAATTATTTTGAAATAAGATTGGATTGGAGAAACTGGTGCCAAGTTAGTTACCAGCATCAGCCGGCATTTGTGATGCAACTGCTTGTGCTAACGCTGAATTTGGTTTTAACATCTGTCTCCTCTGTAGAGGGGACTATCTTTCCCTTGAGCTTTGGTGGGGAGTCCTGAGAATCTAACATTTCTGCCTTCTGTAGAGCAAGCTGTTGCTTTTTCTTCCGTACAATTATTTCCAGAATTAGCCTGGTTTTGTCCTTAGCTAAGCAATGTTTTTAGGGCAGAAGTTTGCACCAGGACCTAGTCTAACCCTCAATGAGTTTAAGAGTTTAGGCACATTCCCTTGTGACTACCACTATGAGATAGATATTTTTTCCTACAATTATTAGATTCTTTAACCTTTCATGTTGAGGGAGAAGAGGAGAGAAAAGATAAAAAACCACGTACTTGCCAGTCTAGTCTAGAAGTAATTTTCCCTTGTCCTTTCCTAATCACATCTCCTCAGTTTCCCTGAACTCTTCCTTCTATTACACTTTCGTTGAATAAACAGAATATTCCTTTGGAAAGAGCTGCTTCAATTGACAGGTGAATGAAAAGGGGGCCTGTTGATCAAAGGCCTAGCATCCTGTCAGCTTCCAAGGAATAATGCATTTTAGCCTGAAGGAACAATGCTGGGGAGAAACCAGGGATTCCTGCAGGAGAGAGAAACCCTTCTTTTCAATCTGTTTGATAAGCAGTAAGAATACTAACCCTGGCTTTCAAAACACACATTTAATTCTGAAACAGAGAACACCTAGTTAAAAAAGGAAAAACACAAGTGGAACATGACATTTATTAACTTTTAGATGCATTTAGGCCAGCTATCTCAGCTCAGTTCACAGTTTATTCCTTCTCCTCAGCATTCCTTCTCATTTACTTTTTCAAAAAAGAAACAATGTAGATGATCAGCAAGATGTGTCATCCTCCATCCCATTCTATGGGTCTCCAAAAGAGGGATGAAGAGGATAAAAGTGAGCTGTATACAGCAATATATGTAACACTACAGTCTGAAGTGACTGCTGTACGTCAGCGGGAAGAGAAAGCCCATGCACGTTCCAGTAGTTACACCTCCCTACTTTATCTCACTCTCCTCATGTACTTGCAGGAGAGGCAGTAGCATGTGAACCAGATCTCACCTTTTTAGATTTGAGAATAGCTCACTTCTAACTTCCCTGTACATCACTGCAATTACAGAAGAGACAGTATCTTATTTAAATGCATTGGAAGGTGTCTCTGACTTTTGCTGGTGCCAGTGCCAGGCAAGGGAAGATTGAACAGTCTTCCCACTGCCTGTGATTGCAGCCGGAGGATTTATTAGCAAATCGGATTTGCTAATGAGGTCAAGGAAGCCAAAATGCAGTGGTAGCAAGGGTTTGGGATTCTTGGGAAATGGCAGAAAAAAATAGAAATTAAGGGAGTTCAAAGACAGGAAGACAAATACATAGAGGTGGGAAACAGAGGTGAAGATAAAAACAGAAGTAAATAAAGTGAATTGGAGGAGACAGACAAACTGAACCCAACATAAAACAAAGTATTTGAAAAAAATGGTTACAACAGGCAACTGTATGTTCTGAAAATGTCATCATTATCTTTTATAAGTTAAAAATACATGGAAAGAGAAGATGTCAATTTTTTCTACATGCTGTTGCTGCTTCCTGATTTTGGGTAATTCCTTCCAGCCCCCTCTTTTTCCCATCCCTCCATTCTTTTTCCTCCAAAAGGAAAAAAAAAACACAAAATAACATTTCTGAACTCTCATCAACACCACTAAGATACCAGCTGTTTCCAATACTTAGTATATCGAATAACAGGAACACCTGCTGATGGTGCTGACTTCTGAAAATACTGATTTCTTAACTGGAATCAACACACTCTATAGATATATTTATGTATTTATATATATGCATGTACATGTAAAACTTTTGTTCAAAAGTGATAAAGTTATATTTTGCTTTAGCTATAAGTACTTATCTACAGCATAAATTATTTCACTGGCCATTTTACAGTCATTATTTTATAACTACTAATCTAAGTGGATTTCAACCAGGCAACTCTTGCTGTTGTAACAGCTGTAGATAAAATGCGTGTAATGTGAAAGCATAGTACATCAGGAATTATTTTCAGAGACACTGTGCTGTGGGAAACTGCTGCTGCAACAGCTCTCTAAAAGGGGAAGCACAGACAACCCAGGCAGGGTTAGATCTGCTTCCTGGTCTAGAACAGGAAAGCAGAAGTCTTGCCCCTGAATACTTCCCATTTCCTGTGGCCAGGACTGAGGCAACAACAATACCTTTGAGCCTCAAGTGTGAAAACTGGATAATGCCCAAGCCCAGCAGAGAGACAGGCTCTTGTGGTTCCAAGAACAAGATACATCACACAGGTCACTTTACAGGAGAGAAAAAACACTGCTCATTCATATTACCTTCTCTTCTGAGTCCCCTGGCTGGCAGGTAATAACTCCATCTCGTGAGCCCCCAGCAAATGTTGCTTTGCAGTTTGCAAGCCACTGTTTTCAGAGAGAAATTAAAAGAAGATATGAATAAGGCCTACAGTTTGATTTGAAAAAAGGTAAACAGTATTTTAATTTCATAGCACACTATGTAAACAAATAAAATTTTGCAATTGCACTTTTTATTCACATAGACTATGACAATTTGCTTTGACTGTAATTTAAAAAGTGTAGTCTTGATTTCTATTAGTATTTGAATTGGATAAACCAAGAAAATGAATTAAGGTACTGAACAGGAGAAAGGAGAGACCAGGAATATAAAGATGCCAATGTTTCTAAAATTGAAGGATACAATAGCTATTTTTTTCGTTCCAGTTCTTCTGTTCAGGAAGAAATATTTAATGAATCCAGTATCTGAAACAGGTTTTTCTACTGAGTATTGGTTTAAACAGATCTGAGTGTATCTGCAGTCTCCTGACATAATATAGTACAGTACAGACACATACAAAGCCAAGAACGTAACATAATTCAGCGTACCGAGAGTGTTGCTTCTTTCCTGTTGTTGTATGTGTCCAGGTACTCCTGCAGTTCTAAAACACTGAACTTCAGCTTTTCGAGAAGGCCACAAGACAGCAGCTGGAGAAATGAAATCAAAAGGGCTAGTAAATGTCACTATAAAAGAATAAAAATATTAGCAGAGTAGAAAGTATAGTAAAGATCTTGCAAAACATTTACAGACACTAATACTGAAAAATATATTTATGCCAAAATAAACATAAATAGAATACTGTACTGAAAATTCAATAGCAAAAGCTGCACCTGTGATAATGTGGAACTGAAATTGTGTTCTGAGTTTAACAGCTTTGCAGAGGACTTCCCCAAAATAAAATACTGCTAGTTAGTCTCCACAGCTCTCTGATGATGTGAAGCACAGCTCTTCCATGCTCACAGCATTGCTCCCAAGATTAGACTTGGCAAGTTCCTACCTCTATACTTCTGTGTGAGATCACACTGTCCTGATGCTGCTGGATAAACATGGGCCAGAATGAAAACAATGGGAAGGGCCATCTCATTCATTCCCTAATATATATTTTTATCATCGAGCTCACACCACAGTTGACTCAAATGAAACAACTAAACATATTACCATCTTTCATGCTGAACTATGTAAAAAATAGCTTATCCTTTTCCATTTGTGGAGCCAACTGCATCCAGCAGGCACCTGTTTTATCTTGGTTTTTGGCACACAGGCTCAACATATCGTATTACCCATCTGCCAGTACTTACCTAATAAATTAATATGGAAAATTAACAGAAATTTGGTTAAGAACAAGAGATAAAAATTAAGAGATAGGAGGTGGGTACCTTTTTGACATATCTGTTCAGGAGTTGCTCAAAAGTGAAACAGCCAGTAAAATAACACAATGCAATGCAGTACATGCCTTTTGAAAGGAATATACTCACTGTTTCTGCATCTACAAAAAGGGTGGGACATTCTGAACATGATGTTAACATCTGAGAAGACCTCACAAACTTGGAGCCTATTCCTCGCAGGTTGTCTCCCAAGTAACTAGCTGCATCACAAGTTAGGAAGCAGAATCTTTTCTGAATATTCTGTAAAGCAAAATATAGTTTATCACACTCTTTACTCCAGTACAAGCTTTTTTCTTTTGTAAACATGTAAAATGTTGGGGTTTTTTTCTGCACACAATAATATGTGCAAAAGAGCCCATCTCCCTGTGGAGAACTGAACGTCTGCTCAAGGATACTGAATAATAGCTATCATGCCAGAGACAGCGCACAGCTGGGCAGCTGTGAAACTAATTACAGAATTCATCATAATCTACTACTGAAAAACATTCTTTCTTGTAGAGACAATTAAATCTTTACAAAGCCTTTTACTCACAAGTAGTTTGTTTTTTTTTTTTCTTGGCTGTACAGAGTTAACAGAGTTGATCAGCACATTACTTTTCTGCCCATTCCGGGCATTGTTTTGTTAGTATTCCATGTCAAGTGGCTAATTAGATAATATAATGGACACCCTAATGCCAAACAGCAGCTCGGAAAAATCAGAAAAAAAGTTTTGTTTTCCCCTGTGGGAAAAACCTTCTTGCTAAAACTTTTCTGCTGCTTGGGAGGACTCCAGGAATACCACATTGCATCCGGGAATTATTCTTCTCAGAAGATTTTTTTTGTGTTTTGAGTCTTAAACCAGTCCAGTCTTCCAGAAATACTCTAGTGCTGATACTTTCTTTTCAGTCACTAATATATAAAGTGAATAATAAACCAAAATAATATTTTAGTCTTGCAGGAACTAAAATATTGATAAACACAGTGAGTTTCACTGACAAAATGTATCTCACGAAGGCCAACTGCTCAGCAGGTGGAAGTAACATGAAAATATTTTTACAAATAAAAATATGCAACAATTTTATATGATTCATTCCATGTTACCACAGGCATTTATCTGAGGAATGTAGATCAGGACCTATATTACTGTAAGCATGTCTCACTGGAAAGAAGTGTGCCCTGCTACACAGTAGCTACAGCGCTATTCTAGCTACTAAAAAGAAACCCAGCTCTGTCTCAGGTAAAAAGCAGGACAAAGTGCTTCCCAAATACCAGTCTGGATGGCAGACATAAATAGCCTGTAACTGCTCCTACATGGGAACACTGAAGTTAAGTACCTAAAATCAGGTGAGCTGAATTTAGACTTTATTGATAATGGAAGCTGCTGGATTTAATGATTTTTTTTAAAAAAGCTACATAAGCCCTCACATTGTAGGCAGGGTATACACTATCAATAATTTATAAAATGGTTAAAGAGAAACTTTCTCTACAGACCAACTTCGTAATTCATTTGTGAATCTCTCTCTAAAGCATCTGGACTGGCCATCTGAACACAGTTACAATTGGACAGACTTGTCTTGCTGTATGTTTCTACCATCTTCCTTCAACACAGAAACAAAGCACTATACATGTCACTCAGCACGTGGTTCAGATTCTCTGCTGCACCAAGTCTGTAGTAGAGGCCAGGGGCTCTTACTAATTACCATTAAACCAGGTAAGTTATTATTTTTATGAGCAACTACCAGAATCATCTGAATCATAGGGCTTGCAGACAGTTGGAGATTCACTAATATGATGTCTTCTGAAAAGAAAGATTCAGTCCAAGTCTTAGTGAAACTGCTGCTGACAAATCTTCTGGCAAAGGAAAGAGATCTAGATTTTATCCTAACCAACAGAAAAGAGCAAGTTGAGAATGTAAAAGTGGAAGGAAATTTAGAAAGACAGATTATGGAACAGAATCCAAGAGATGTCGGTTGGAAGGGAACTCTGGAGACCCTCTGATCCAACCTTCAACTCAAAGTGGGACTACTGCTAACACTAGATCAGGTCAGTTATGGTTTTGTTTAGCTGTCTTGAAAGCTCCAAGGTCAGCGCTTCCTCAGGCTCTCTGGGTAACCTGCTTAGGTGCTGCAACACCCTCCTAGGGAAGGGTAATTGAGTAAATGAATCTGAGGCAGTGAAAGAGACATTACAGAAATAATACAACCAACTTCAACGCATTCAGAATTTGAAAGAAGGAACCTATTAGAAATAACTTCATGGGGAAAGGAGACAGTGAAATGTGGCCATTCTTTTACGAAAAAAAAAGAAAAGAGGGCAGAAGCACATTCTATACCACTGAAAGACAGCAAATATATTAAGACATACATCTGGCTAAAACACAAATATTTCACTCAGGCAAATACTCATGTAAAAAAGAACAGAAAATGAAACAGTGTTAAATTACTAACCTGGGTACCAAAAATAGCATGGCAATGTAAGCACAATAACCAGAGAGGGAGGTGACAAATAAACTAGTAAGAAAAAGGGAGACTGTCAAGAAGTAAACTATAAATTAAGAGGAAGGCCAAGGAATCACAATGGAGAGAAATAGCTACTAACAGATGCTTATGAAGAGCCTGATGTGTTTAATGCCTTCTTTTGCCTTATTGATCTCAGAAAGGGCATCAGTGGAAAGGTAACAATGAAACATCAGGAAAAACTCAGGTGAGAACAGATCTTCCTAGTAAGGGCCTGGGCATTTTTACATCTTTGCAGATTAGGGAAATTCATGCTATGATAGTTATAACACTGGCTGAAGAAGTCTAGGAGCTATAACAAATATCTTTGAGACCTCACAGAACACAGGGTGTTGTAAAAAACTTGAGGAAAATACTTATCTCAAAAAAAAACCCCCCCAAAATCCCCAAACCCAAGAGCAGAAGAATTGAACACGAAGTTCAGGAAATGTGGAAACATATAAGAGATGAATAATCGGCAGCACAGATTTGGTCAGAAAAAAATCACATCAAACTATTTAATTTTCATGAAGGGCTATAATTTTCTATTAGGAAGAGAAGCAATTGATATGTTATATATTAATTCATTTACTATCTTAGAAGTAAGGCAGATAAATGTGGTCTAGAGGTAACTAGGTGTGTAAAACCATATTCAGAAGTTAATTATCAGCAGCTCACTGTCCAATTGGAAAGATAAATTGAGTAGGATTCAACTGGGGACTGTTTCAGGCACCAACCAAGTCATTAATGGAAATACTGAATAATGGAATATGCAACATGCTTATTAAATGAATGGATGATTGAGCTGCAGGGGCTGCAGACTCCTTGGAGGCCAGGATTAGAATTCAGACTGACCTTGATAAACTGCAGAAGTGGTACAGGGAAAAGAAAGAAGGACGAGGTTGTACATCCAGACTTAAACAATCCTGAGCACATTCAGGATGGAGAACAACCAGGAAGGCAAAATTTAGTAGAACAAGATCTGCATACTAGATTGAGACACAAGTGGAAATAATTAACTGTATTCTACACCAGTTAGCAGAGAGTTCTTGAACAGGAATACCTTCTTAAAAAAGGTAATCCTCTCCTAGTCAGTGCTGGTAAGAACTTAGGCTGAAATACAGAAGCTGCTCTTGCTTTTCCAGCAATACACAGGCTAACTGAAGAGAGCCCACAGCAACAGTGAGAAGCTTAGAAAACGTGACTTATGGGGAAGGTTGAAAGAACTGAGGTTAAATAAGAGAAGTTTAGGGTAGGTGAAGTCATGGTAATAGTCTTCAAATGTAAGTACTACTGTGTATAGAGCAAGAAGCCAAGGGGTATAAAACAAAGAAAGAGAAGTTTTCAAGTGATCAGAAGAGTTAAGCATTGGACTACCATTGCCCAGGAAAGTTGTAAAGTTCCGCCTTAATGTAAAGGTTAAGAACAGTCTAGAGAAAAAAGTTAAAAAACATTTGACTGGAATAAAAGTTATAGTTGATCCTGTCCTGAGCTCAATAAGGAATATGAACTCTTCAGGTCTCTTCTAGCACTCATCTACTCATGTATTTTAAGCTCTAGTTTATTTTATGAAAATAACTTCCTCAAATCATTTCAGTCATGGCTTCATCAAAAGCTGGCTAGTCTACGGTTTAGATTCAAGAAAACATATTCTTCCTTAACTGCTTTCCTTTTCAGGTATTCATAAAAGCAACAATCAACCTACAGCTAAGAAGACAACAGTCTTGAACAATGATTTAAAGCACTAAATTGAAACAGTGAGAGACTGTACTTTGGTATCTGTGTATAGTACTTAACTAAATATATTTATTTTGCAATTGCATGGACCATCAGTTCTCTAATAAATTATCATCTCAGTCATGTCCTTCTGGATGCAGATTACAGTGTCTGAAATCTTTCAAGCAGGGTCTGAATACAGTATATTTTTTATGAAACAGGCCTACTGTGAATAATAATAATGCCAACCACCAGCATATTCATAGAACCATAGAATCATAGAATGGTTTGGTTTGGAAGGGACCTTAAAGATCATCTAGTTCCAATCCCCCTGCCATCAGCAGGGACAACTTCTCCTAGCCCAGTTTGCTCAAAGCCCCCCCCAGCCTGGCCTTAAACACCTCCAGGGAGGGGACATCCACAACTTCCTTGGGCAACCTGTTCCAGTGTCTGACCAGCCTCACAGTGAAGAACTTCCTCCTAATATCTAATCTAAACCTACTGTCTTTCAGCTTAAACCCATTTCCCTTTGTTTTGTCATTAACTGCCCTTATGAAAAGTCCTTCCCCAGCTTTCTTGTAGGCTCTCTGCAGGTATTGGATATTATGAATAGGTACATGCCTACATATAGTTGCTGTGCTTTGTGTCAATGTAAACAATAACAAAATATTCTCAGAACTTTTTCTTCTTAACCTCAAGTTTCCTCTTCTGGGAAGAGGATTTTCATAACAAAAGGGCTCAACTGTGGAAACTACTTGCTAGGTCTCAGATCTACTTGTCTTGGAACTGGCTGGTCTGCTGGAAGACATTTGATTTGACAGAATACAAAGAAGCACCCATAAAGATAATCCAGAGATATCTGAGATATGACTCATTTACAGGAAAAGTACTTCAATAATTTCAGGAATTTTAAACAAGTTTAGTGTGTTATGGGCAAACATCCAAGATACCATTAACTTGATGCAGACTGAACTGTAGGTGCCCTGGAAAATGCACTTTTTTCACTTCACCAAGTATTTAGTTGACGGGGTCCTCCAAACAAGGATTTTGTTTCACAGTTAATTATTTTGGCCGTACTCTGTGTTGCAAGCCTAGCACATACTGGGCTTGTTTCTGAAACCTCCTGTTGGTGAGGGTTGAAAGTCTTTTAAGTCAGTGGATGAGTAGCAAAGTTTGATGCTGCAAACACCATACTATTCCAGATAGGCAGGGACCTTATGAAAAAAAATCTGGGAAAATAATACTCCTATACTTTAGCCCTGAAGAGGAGAACAAAGCAATTTTATAAACTAAAAATATGTGACTCCAGCTAGAAAATTCTGGTTTGTTGATAATATTAAAACATTTTAATTTTTTTTAACCTTTATTCAGGTTTTACTGTTATTGACAATTTTTTGAGAGCATTATTGTATCTTTCTCCTCCAGTATCAACTGAAGAAAATGAGTAGGCTATCTTTTGAACATAGGGCAAGCGCAACAGCAAATGTAGCAGCATGCCAGGATCTGGAGTTAAACAGGGACTTTACAGGTAATGTTTAGGTCTTATATTGCACAGTATTATTTTAGTTTTAAAAATGTGATACTTGTTCCTTTTCACCTCTTCAAAGAGAATAAGAAGGACAAATAACTCTCAGAACGCTTGAACAGGGCTATTAACTTCTAGGATGACACAATGGCAGAAAAGCTGAAATACACATTATGAAGAAATACAGGACGAGTTTTCAAAGTTGAACTGTCATGCACTGAAGTCAGCACTGTTTTTTTTTCCTTTGAAATGGCTATTTATCAGTGTTTAAAAGAATGCCTATAAGGCATCCATATTTACAGTGGTGCAACATTTAAAGGAGGACAGAGTGTGCAGCTAGAGAAGACATGGAATTAACTCTGGTGGAGCACAGAGGTAACAGGATGAAGAAGAGACTCGTATTGTATGATGCTTCTTACTCATAAGGATAGTCTTAAAGACAGGAAAAGATCTTGAGATTGTATATTTATCAGTGGGGAACCTATTGAGAATAAACAATTGTGTACTCTGAGATCATGGGTACTTAAACTCCGCATGAAGTTGCCTGGCTGCTGTGTACACTACTGCAGCAAGCTAAACATCCTGCAGCTGCCTCATATAAAGCAGAAGAAACAATTTTAAAAGGCTTTAAAACTAATTACAGGTAAAACCAGACCAGTCCTTAGACCAGCTTGTCCATTTGACTCCTTTTTTTTTCCTTATCTTTTTGCAAGATGCTTATCTTTATGAGCATAGTTTTTGAAAGGAGAAATATTGAGTCTTCAGACTCAGTCTCTGGAATTTACATTACATGATGGCAGCTCGATATTTATATTCAGATGATTAAGTACAGAATATTTAACAATGTTGACATTTACATGAGCACACTCAGATTTCAACAGTTTGAGAGGAAAGAACATATTAGCAATAGTCTGAGATGAAAAAGCCATTTTCTGTCTCTTGCAGTTATTGTTTCAGGCTGTTTGCAAAGTACTAAAAAAAATACTCCTATGTGGATCCACATTTTATACTGTTATTTCCAAACCTGCAAGTAGGAGGTACGTACTATTTTTCTGACAAAACTGGTCCTAGAAGACAGTTCTCCATGAAAATCTAGTATGGCAATTCTGCAGTATGCAAAATTACAATGGCTATATACCTAGTAGTTCATTACTGGTACTACTATCAAGAACCATCCTAATAGCCACACACAATCTAGACATTTTGATTTTGTCTCTTAAACTTATTTTCTCACCTTAAACAAGGAAGAGAACACATGAAATGTATAAACTGCACAGGAACCATCAGAGTCGCACATGAGCTGGTTGATATGACTACGCCAGGCTTCTTCTGCATCATCACATGCTGCTGGCTGAAATGCAGCAAGGATGGCAGAGAAAAATGGTGAGGGAGGAGGGGAGGCATTTCGATCAACATCTCCAAAACTGAAGGAGGAAAAAAACAAAAACACCTGTGATGAAAGGAGAATATCAACAAGGTGGCAGATAGGCAGATAAAATATGCTCTAACAGAGAGATATCATCACAGGACCAATTACAGCACTTCTCTAAAAATATTCATGAATTTTCAAATTGCTTTGAAGGTTGGCAAGATGTTGGCTACAATGAGAAAATCCTCCAAACCCCTGTCTTTAAGCCATTATCATCTACCTTCCCCAATTGTTTGATTGTACCGTCATTTGGAGGAAGAAGGCTGAAAATTTACAGAAGCACAGAGCCCACGAAGAAAAAAAATCCTCTTCTAAGAAAATATAGTTATAATACCAAAAGTACTGAAAAGAATCTAAGTGTGTACAAACATTACATATACTGAGCTGTTTGGTTGCCCTGCAGTGTAATAGATGAGAAGACCCATCCCTTCTCCACGCTGTTCTTAGGACAGAGCAGTATTTTGGCACTCCATGGTCAGTGAAACAGTCTGACTACCATTTTTAAAGGATACTAAGCTACTTGATCTTGTGTTTTATCCTTTGGGATGAAGAAATACTTCCAATGGCTCCCAAGAACAGGAACTGTGATTCTGAAGCATGTGGCACACAGACAGAGAGAGGGCTTCTTTATATATCCTCCTTCCTTTCCTTTCCTTTTCATAAATACAGGCTAATTGCAGTCTAGTTCAGTATCCAAAATCTGAAAGAGCTCCATAAGGTATGGAGAAATCTTGATGCTTTGTTGCAACATATCCTGGGGTCCAGCCATGCTCACCATCAGCCTCAAGAGTATGCAGTTGGATTCTGGCAATATTGTGACTTCCTTATGACCCATAAGAAATCAGAAGGATGAATACATGGCTGATTTGTTGAACAGCTAACTAAGCAACTAAGCAGTATTTCCATTACTGCAAACCTTTAAAAATATCTCTCTTTTTTTTTTTAATTCAATAATTACATGTATAATGACTTAACTGCATAGATGTATGTACAAATCATTCCTTGTTTTTCCTAGAAGGAAAATCTTGGGGTTTTTTTGAGTTGTGTGGTAATTATGCAGGTAATTAGGGCATTGTCTTCTCATTGCTCTAAACTCATGAGAATTTTATAACTCCCGTGGCCAAAATAGCCATTCCATTAACTAACATCTTGTTACCATTTTGTTGTACAGTGTAAAAGAACTTTTATGAATAACAGCATATACAAGTACCTAGCCAGAGCAAATTGTTCCAGCCTCTCAACTTTCTCTTCAGTCTCTGTCATATCCAGACTAAGGCTATCGCTGCATTCAAATGCTCCAGGGAGTTCATTTGTTGACCCTGAAAGGTCATCCTCATGCACTGCTGTATCTTGTTCTTCATGTACAGCTTCAACCTAGGAGAGTAAACGATGATGTCTTAGAAAACAGCAAATTAATGTTAATTCTACTAATAAATAGAAAGTATTTACTGAAAAAAAGCCACCTGACAACATGTTAAATCACACAGATATAAAGCCACAGATTATAAAATACATGAATCAAGCTATACTTCTTCAAAAATACTCTATTTACTTAACTTGCTGTCTTTGATCACTATTATTTTTAAGGCATTTCTTCAACTTAATTTGTCTAGCAAAGAATTTCAGATTTCAATGCATTTGGCAACATACCAGGGGAAGTATTTTTTTCAGGAAAAACAATAGGGCTCTTGTTACTGTCAGTCTGTCCTTGCCACTTATCACTTTATAGTGTCCAAGACGTATTAAAGCCTCTCAAAATATATTGAAAACAATCACTGTCTGGAAGACTATATGCATGTTTAGAATTGAGACTTATTTTTAGCATGTAATTTACATAATAACTTCCATTCAAGAAGAATCCAAAGCATTCTACAGGCCACTAAAAGAATTATGCTCCTATTATTTCCTTCCTTTTTCATCCATTAGCACCTAAAGTTCTTGATTTATTTTTGAAATTTTCCAATTTCTCTTGCATTTTTAGTCTGAACAAATTTTATTTCCTTTTTAATCTTTTGGTTTTTGTCTGTATCATCCATAGCATCCCGCAAAGCGGTTCCTGTAGGGATGACTGCAGTGCATAGCTCAAACTTTTCTATTTGAGGTATCTCATAAGGTGTGTGTTTGTGCACATATGCGTATGTGCACGTACATACATGTGTTGGGAGCTGGTAAGGAGGGAAATCTGTGGCAAGTGGAACTGAAAGACACAAGTGGTTCTCTGCAGGTTACCAGACCTGCTTGGATCCTACAGAAAAATTCTGGGGATTTGCATTTCTAAAAATTAAACACGACTTGTATCAGAAAGGATAGGATCAGAAATTAAGATAAAGGTTTTGTGGTTTGGTTTGTTTTCTAAATGAAAAGGATAGGAATATTCCTGAGTCTAGGGTGGATGAAATGAATCGGAGCAAAACCATCTGGAAAATAGAAATGAAAGCTCTATGGCTGAATCACCAGAATAGGAGCTAGAGCACTTGTCAAGAAGCATAAACGTTTCATGCTTCTTCAATAAGTAGTTAGTATTAACCACTTTCAAATATGAAATATTAACTTGAAAGAACTATTGGTTTGTTCACTGTAATGACAATGTTTTTATAAGGAAAACACATTTTGATGAGGTAAGGTAAGGGAGGAAGAAAGAGGAAGCAAACACCTCCACTGGAGTCCAGTATGATGCCCAAAAAGCAAAATAAAAAAGTGGACACTGAATATTCATGCAGGATTGGAGTACACTTCCAGAAACTGGTGAGTTTAGATAACTTAAAAAATATATAAAATAGCATCAGCTGAATCTTTGTACCCTCATAGCATTATCCATCAGAGCCTTCTAATCCCTTACAAACACTGCCTTAATTACTGTGATCATATCTTTATAGAAAATAAGTTTAACTGATTTCATACTGTTAGCAATAAGACCTGGATTTAGGCACTGAAACATTTGAGAAGTCTACTTAATCAGTTCGTTGTTCTCTTTCACTGCATCTATTTAAAAGTTGAGATGATATTTTCGTTTTTGCTTATGGTGCAACAAGTAAACATTTTTGTACAGCACTGAAGAAGTAACAAAAATTTTCCTCTGCATTGCTGACATACCATCAGCTTTCTGAAAATAAAAACTCAGAGGAAAAGAGAAACAGGAAGGAGCTCAGATTTTGTGTTATCAAACTAAGTAAAAATTATTTAGGTGCAAGTTTCAAGTCTTCTGACTAAAAATTGGATGACTTCTTGCTTAAAATAAATATAAAACTAGGTATTTTAACTTTGTTTATACTGACTCCAATTTGTTTTGAGTAAAAATACAGTATTTTTACAGTAATATAGAAGTATGCATACTAAAAGAAAATATCTTTGAGGCAAAAAACACTAAGAAGGCATTCTGTGTTTATCAGTTCTCTTTGTAACACTGGCAAATCCCTGTCAACTTGGGTTATGTATTTCACCAATATGAAACCTGTCTCAGGACCAGCTGAATTTGTCTGTCAGTCCCACAAGAAACTGCTGTGATTTTACATTCTTCACTTATTTAGTTTTTCCAAAGCTTTTCATTTTTTGATGAACACTGGTGCATGGGTATTGGGACATTAAATAAATTTTCACAGTAAAGATTCTAAAACCCCAGGCAGATATGAAACTCATGAACTGTGATTTGCAATTCTTATAGCTACTGTTGTTGGATGCATGAGATGAGCTGCAGTCACCACCTGCAAACATATCTGTTCTGACTGCAGCTTCCTGAACTGAAATTCTGCCAACTTCTGCTGTTTATGGTTGTTACATGGTAACTTTTCTACCAGCAGTTGTTTTGACAAATGATAATGAGTTTATCCCTTCCACAACTGTTATTTTGAGAGGTTCCCCTCCTTTCCTATCGTTACCCACATTTCCCTCCTCCTGTCCTTTCTTCCTCCTGGGGAGGTTTCTGATACAACTGATTTGTTCCATGTTCAGCACAATTCCAACCTCCTTTTCTTTGACCTCTTTACTAGAAGTTTCCAGTACTTCTGTTATATGCAGTGCTAACAGTACAGCATCAATTTTTTGTGTGGCTGCATTTGGAGGGGACCAAAGGCGAGAACCGGAATGAAAGCCAATGATTGCACAAGACAATTATATCCTTCCCCTGCCCCATTCTCTTACACTGCTCTTCTGCAGCAGTCACACAATTTAGACATGACAGAGAAAGCTTTACTAGTAAGGCAACACTGTCCTAAAGCCACGCACACCCCCTGCCCTACCTCAGAATATATATTTCTGGAGAGACATTGAGAGGAGTAGGTTCACCTGATCTCCTACAAACAAGTATTATCAAACAGGAAATTAAAGAAACCATCCCCATGTTGATAATAATTTACCAACCTTACTCTATGTCCATCTTCTTATACAATTGTCTGAAATAAACCGTGCTGAACATAGTTGTTGTATCCTTGCAAATCCTGCCTCCCCACCCCCCAAGATGGTTTAATAATGCGGTCTTGAATTTTAAATTTCTGAGTGTCTGCCAAAAGGCAAGGACTGAATCCAGTGCACACAACTGTACAATAGGTTCCCACATGGAAAAAAATCTCAGAGAATACAGGCATACACCCACCACATGAGTTGGCATATCATTCTTTTAAGCCAGGGTGAAGAACAAAAGAATATTCCCTTAGGCTTGTAACTTGTAGTTAGTTAATGAATCTGTCTTCCAATGAGCTTGTAGTATCTTGGTGCATATGTAGTGCAACATACTTAAGAAACAATAAAGAAAATCTTTTCATGAAGAAAGTGTAAGTAGAAAGGAAAGGGTATGAATGTGCAGGAGCATATGAAAGTATTGTACTATGCCATTACAAACAGGAAGTCAGAATGTAATTGCCTTCACAGATCAAATCCCTCATGGAAGTCTAACTAAAATAAACTTGTAAAAGTGTTATGTCAAATACAGTCCGTTTGGAAAATAAAGTAAAAATGTATTCACCTTGGATCCTTCAGACACTTGGAGATTATTCATATCAGGCAAAGACACATCAAAGCTAGACGTTCCTATATTAAAATGATGAGGGTCTGCTGAGGTTGTGTCACATGATGTAGAAAGTGAGTCAATATGATTTGTATCCTCAGATGGGGACAGAGTTATAATCTGTTTAAAAGACAACAGAAGCACAGAAGAACTGAGTATACAGTTACCCCACCACACATTGCTTTTATGAACATGCAAAGCAGACATTGTCTTAAAGGGCAATGACGGTGGCTCTCTCAGTTTGTACATGCAGATATATTATAGCCTTTTCAATGTTTCTATCATAAAAATTGTATGCAAACATCCCAGAAGTGAACAATGAAAACCTGACATGGTTTACCAAACTGGAGTCTTGTCCTATTTCTTTAAGTATTCGATACATCAGAAAGATTTACTACTGGTTGTGCAAAATTGTCACATAGTAATTTGTGGAAAAAAGGACAAATAATCAGATCTGAAGCTTCCTGTTTTTCAAACTCTGCATTCAAATTCCTGTTTACATTTGCAAATAAGGGAAAATAAAGCAGTGACAAAACACCACGTTGAGTGCCACCCCCCAACTGCAGCTGATTTTACTGCACCTGGGCAAGAGGAAACTAAAAGCCTCTTATTTAAAAACACAACCCTATCCTTTCTTAAATTGCAAGTTTGCAACTTACTAGGTCTGAGTTCTCCAAGATTTGGCTGGTGGTCAGGTCCTCCTCCTCAGATGACTCATCGGAGTCCTCATGGTTCATTTTGTTCAGGCTGGGCGTGCTCCCTGAGAGCTGGCTCTCTTCCAGCAGCTGCATGTCACACTTGTCCAGGCTATCCAGGGACCGTCTGCGTACTCCCCAGTTGAAGTTATCCATGCTCTCACCCTGAAATCAGATACAGGGTCAGCTTCCTTGATTTGAAACTCATCATACACAAAGCACTAAACATTAGATCAAAGTTAGCTCAGGAAATATTTTTATGTAAAAATATAATACAAACTTAATATAAAAATTATTTTGTTAAGCAATAATGTAACAGGAGCATTTAAAATTTTCCAGTGCTTCACCTAGAGATAAGAGCAGAAGCATGGAAATGACAGTTAAATGAAGATTCATTCTTTTCAGTATTAGATGTTTTTCATGCATTTGCAGATTTAAGAATTTGTTTTTGTAAGTCCACATATACACGCATCTCAATACCAGTAGAGCAATGACAGGCAAAAGAAATGTTTGGAAGCAATTTTAAAGGATTTTTCCATGATGTTTAAAAATATTATGAGCACAGTTCATAGCAATGGTTCAATTGCAAAACATATGTTAAAGTTTTTAGATTCTTTTCATTGTATACATAATGATGAGTTAAGGCAGATTTGAATGAACCCTTCACTTAGTATGCAAAATGTAATAGCTAAAGCAGCACACCTTTTAAAAGTTTTATTCTGGGCACATATTGCCTATTTTTGTACCTTTAATTTATTTGAATTATTTGAAACTATACTTTAAGAATAACCTGAATAGCATTGCCTGAGATTTCATGTTTTAAAAAGGACACAGTCAAACGGGGCAAACATTTTATATTGACCTTCAGTTCTGACCCCACATGCAGTTACATAAAGCCAAGTGCGTTAAGCAAATTGCGGAACTATTTGTTAGGCTGGTGAACTGGTGCAAAGATCACTTAACTTCCTTAACGTATAAAAATGACAATTAGCTTTCCACCATTTTTTAATTTGTTTTTCATTTTATTTTTACTTTATGTATTTTCCGGTGGATTGTATCCCTTTCCCTAATTGCACTAATTCTCTTGCTCCCTTATTCAAGTCTAGCCAGGTTCCTCTTTGGCAAATGCAGGAGGATGTCCACAGCTGCTCCTGTCGTGGACCTCAGAGGCCAAAGGAGCCTTACACAGCATGAAGGGTCTACGCAGAAGTATTCAGTTGCAGTTTGGGGTAGTTTATCTAGGTGGAAGCCTTCAACCTTACATCAACACAGGAAGGAAATTTATAGAGAAAAATGTTTCTTTTAAAGGTTGTGGACTGACTGTTTAAAACAAGATTCTGTAAGATGCAACACTCTTAAACAAGCAAAGCAGCTGCCGAAAATTCAAGTTGACAGGGATCTTTTAAATACGAATTTGACAAAAATATAGTTCTGCCTAAAAAAATCATAGCCATTATTATCAAATCACTGATTATGGTAGGAGTACACCCTGGGCTCATGCGGATTAAAATTACCTGCAATCATAGAGAAAGAGGTGTGTTCAAAGCAGATTTGTAATTTTGAACACTTGAGTAATCCCCATTCAGGAATACTCAGACTTTTACTGAATGGGGACTAAACTGTATAATGTGCAATTAATTCACTTGCAATCTTACCTGCTTAACAATCAACAAACTTGCATAACTAGATCTTATTTTGCATCATTGACCTTTAATGCAATGGACTTTGGAATGTGATTATAAAGAGGAAAAGTTCAGTTTTATGACACTAAACTCACTGTTCATGAACAAATATGAGGAAAAAAGAAAAAAAAAAAATTTTTTTTAGGAAAAAGACAATCCAGAAATGCAAGAACTGTAATCCACAAGAACATGTAGAACTAAGGAATGCACTACGTTCAAGAGCAAACGAACATGAAATTGTTATGAAGCCTGACATATTACTGGAAGAACCTTGTGTTTTCATCCTGGGACAGGGATCATATGGTAGTTTTGAGCAGGAAAACCACAGAACACATCTAAGATTTAAGAAATTAGGTCTCTAAATCATAAAAATTACTGTTCTACTACTTATTTTAACAAATTCTTGGGGCTGGGGGGGGGCTTGCGTCCTCTCCTATGAAGGCTGGAGGACACATGCAGCAATAAGATATCCTCCACAAATACATGAGTTACTGAACTAACAAATAACAAAATGATATAAATAAGCAAGCAAGCAAAGAAGACTGTCATCACACCCTGATCCTCATGATGCCTAGTACAGCTATTAGTAAACTCTGCAGCCCATTATCTACAGAATATGTCATGTTGCAGTTTTATTCTGCAATGTCTTAAAGAAGGAAGACAGCAAAAAGAAGAGAAACAAGAAGGGACACTTCTAGGGCATGCAATTAGAAGGGAGAGTGAATTAAAAGTGCAGTGGAAAGAGAAATGAAACACAGTATAATCAGCATAAGCTTGCTACAGGGGCACCCAGAATCAAAGTCAACACGTCTGAGATGGAGTTGTTTTTATAGTCTGTTACGCAATCTTTCTTTCACAGTTAACAAGAAGGAGGGAAGATGTATTTGAGAGGCTGTTCATTCTTATCTACAGTGGGACCAAAGCTATCTCCTATCTAAAAATCCACCAGTAACAAACACCAATTCAAAAGAAAACAGTCACATATAAATGTGTCTGGCCAGCAGTGAGCAGGTATCACACAGGACTTCCCACAATCTCCGCCCTCTGGTAAAGGAGCAGACATGCCCTTGCAGCCACTTTAAACATTAGGACAACCCAGGGGAAAGGGGAGACACAGAAAGGGCAGTAAAAAGGGAAGTAACCCCATGTAGGGGAGAGCAGTGTAGCCCCCCCATAAAGCTGGCAAGAATCATGCAAAACTTCTTTCACACAAGTCTTTACCTTACTGTATTGTCAAAGTCTGCAAAGTTAATGGAGTCACACAAATATTGTAGGGTACAGGCAAAAGTGCTGTGGCACTGCATAGTAAGGAACTATTTCCATATGTCTGTTACCTTCTAGAGCACAGGCATCTCGAGACAAAGATTTTTGGGGGGGTAATGTTTGCATAAAAACTGAGGAAAAAACTATGAGAAACAAATATGCAAAATACTGTTGTTGCTAATTTTTGTATCGTTTGTAGAATTCATTACAATTCTTTATCATTTCAGTTCTCTCTATAGATTGCAGATAAACTGCAAATTTAAGTCCTGAACTGGCAACCACTGACAGAGCTTTTCAGTTTTCTTCACAGGGTAAGAAATGTGTCCAGCAAAGGAATGAGTCCAGCAAAATTAACTAAATTGTACTAATGTACTAATCTGTACAATTAAATTAAGCTGTACAGATTAATTAATTTATTCAATTAAATTCAGGCTGGTAGGCAATGATGTGAACTTTGTGAAGAGGTCTCAGGCATCAGCTTTAGCAAGATGCAAACAGGAGCCAATATACCACAACTGAAAAGCTGAAAATTATACATAATTTGCCATAGAAACAAATGGTCCAAACTTTACTATATTATTAATAATGAAGTTCTTCTTTTGTTTCCACATATTATTAATGCACAAAAATACTAAAAGGAGAAATGGCTCAATTTGAAAAATGCTGATACTTGAATTAAGATATTTTAAAATTTCTGAAGATTGTTAACCATATCAAAAACAAACTTAAAATGAAGCAGAATTTTTGAAATAGATCTCAAAAAAAATTTTAATACAAGACAAAAAATAAAGCACCTGTCAGAAGTGCAAGCACACCCACAGCCACCCACCTACCCACGGACACGCTGAAGAGAGGGAGGGCAACAAATAAACTATGATGTTATTCTATCATACAAGTTTGCAAGAAGGCATAACATATACTGACATATCTGAGTTCAAGTAGCATTCTTACCTGAAGTTCCTGGGTAGCAGATATAACAGATAGAAAAACAAATAGAAAGAATCTATGTAAAATTACTGTATTAAAGACATCATAGACAAACATTTGCCTACAATTGTAACTAATATTATCATAGAAACTTCAACTCTTCAGCCTGTCTTTTGAGTTTGAAAATAACCATTACTTGATTTCACATCTTTATGAAATTTCAAAGGAGTACATCTCGTGGTCTAGGGATGATACAAGCATCACTGGTCTGTTTAAATATATTTTTTTTGAAGACTATTTATGCTCCTGCAAGTTCAAGTTTTCTAACAGTGTTTTATTCGTGTTTATGAATACATCAAATTCACACCAGATGTAAACAATACAGTCTCGACTCAGTCATTAGAGATGTAGCCTCTTATATCAGGTTTGACTTTGGCTAAATTATCTATTTATTTAAAACAGTAGTAAGTCAGTCTGGACTAAACCTTGAATTGGAAGGTCTTAGATCCATGGCAATTTAAAAACTGTATTAAGTAAAAGACTATATTTTTCATTTTACTTCACATAAAACTGGAGAAATGTAGTATCTGTTCCACGACTGACATAAGACAATTAGTATATTGATTAATTCAGGCCTCAGTCTTGAAGTTAGCCACATGTATGAACCAAATCTTTGCAGGCTCACAGTCCATGAAGGTAAACTCATTTTGATAGGAATTGATCTGCACAATTTTATAAAATCTGTATAATGTTTTAACTGGTGAAAAGAAAGAAGAAATTCTTGAATTTCACTGGACAAAAAATTATCATGTGGTATTTAGTAAAAATTGCAGTCCCAAGCCCTTGTAATATCTTGAAGGCATTCAAGACACAGAAATTATTGCAGTCGGTATACTTTTTGACAAACAACTTGGCATTGCTGTTTTATCACTTATCATTGTTTGGAACATTAAAGCTCCTTCATAATATGTGGCTAATGCATTTTCAACCAGTGATGCCAACTTTTTTTTTCTTTTTTTTTTTTAAATTTTTCTCTTTTTTTAATTGAAATCATGGGCAGCTGTGAGCCAAAATTACTATATTTTCACATAGAGATTCCTGACTCGGAAAATAAGGACTCTGTGGCATCTCTTTTAATTCCTTCATCCTTTCTCTTCATTGGAAAAAAAATTAAAATTCAGATGTACATGACTTCACACCTGAGGGGTCTGTTTACCTTAAAATTACTGTAATTTAACTAGGGAGAAAACTGATTATTTCTTCTTGTGCACATGTTCTTCTCAGGACTAAGAGTGATCCCTGAGAGAATTCATGTTAAAATCAAATCCAGATTATGACAAGACGATTTATGAAACTGTTAGGTTTGCTGAACATCTGCACCTTAAGTACTTCAAGAGAGCTAACAATTTCTGAACTTTCAACTAGCAACAAAATTGTTAGACTTGTTTGGCAATGGGTATTAATTTTCAGCCGTTCCCACCCAAATAGAAAGAAATACTCCAAGTTTGATATAAGCAGGGTTAAAGGGTGTAGCCCCCCCAAAATCCAGCAGTTCTTCAACTTTTTCCCTTTAACAATTTCAGATCAAGGTGAGCTGACAGGCTTCACCTGTCAGGACTTGATCTGGGCCCTCAGGGCTCTGTTTAGCTCCTGCAAGAAATGTTGAAATCACAGACACCTAAGAGGAGTGGAAGGTACATCTCTCTAAGCATTGGTGATTTCATCAGCAGTCACAGGAGTAACAACAGCCTGAAGGCCTGAATTCATGTTTTGGAGGGTTACTCTTAAACCAACAGATTTGGAACAATTTCATTTTATGGGTTTTTAATTGGCAAATATATTTTTGTTAACAATTTAAACATTGTATATAAAATAAATCCACTTAAAAGTAAATTCACTAAGAAGGTCCTAGAACAGAGGCTTTATCTTCCAGCAACAGTTTTGCAGTGTTTCCTAAAGCAGATTCAGAAAGGAAGGGTGTGGTAGCCTCTTACTGTTAGGCTACTGAAATAAACATTAAGTGAACAGTATAAATAATCTGAACTCAAAACTAAGTTTATACTTATACAGTTAAAGTTTTACATTACAAGAAGAGTAGAGTGTTTAGTAGAAAGAATAGCAAACTGTTGTAATAAAAAAGCTGTTTCAGAGAAAATATACTGTACCTCTCCATCTTCCAGCTCAACATCTAGGAAATCAAAGTCCCTAAAGACTCTGAATTGTTGTTCACTGTTTGAATCATCCATGTTCTCCTGCTCCCTTGTTCCGTCTTCTGAAGACACCAAGCTTGTTTGGTGCTCAATCAGATCCAAATCACCACAGGAAGAAAAGATTACCTACAATTCAAAGGATTTCTCTTGTAACAAACTGTTCCCTCTGGTTGTTTCTTCCTAAAAGCTGTAATTGGTTATTCGGAAGATTGTATTTCCAGTACACACCTAATTCCTTCACTGAGTATTTTTAGAACACTCTTTATTGTTTATGTTGGACAGGTGCCTTCAGATTAAACTCGTACAAAGAAACAACTTCATACTGCAGGAACACGTCCAAGAATATTACAGCTACCTCCTAATGGCTGCAGATTGCTGTTGCCTGGATGTTTGTATACATTTATAGGAACAAAATTCAGAGAACTTAGCAAAGAGAATTTAAGGGGATGAGGTAGCAAGTTCATTAAAAAATTTCTGGTTAAAATGATGTTCAAAAATATGTCAAGATTACAAAATATAACAAGTTATAATTTTTCCTTTCCTACTAAAAATAATTATATCTGCAACTTAATTGCAAAAATGCAATGGTGTCTTGTCTTGCAGAAATGAAGGACCTGTCCACCATAATACAAGTGACATACAACATATTCACAGAATCACAGAATGTTAGGGATTGGAAGGGACCTTGAAAGATCATCTAGGACAACCCCCTTGCCAGAGCAGGATCACTTACAGTAAGTCACACAGGAACACATCCAAGCAGGTTTTGAATGTCTCCAGAGGAGACTCCACATCCTCTCTGGGCAGCCTGTTCCAGTGGCCTGTCACTCTCACAGTGAAAAATTTTTCCTTATGTTTACATGGAACCTCCTGTGCTCCAGCTCACACCCATTGTCCCTTATCCTACCATTGGACATCACTGAGAAGAGCCTGGCTCCATCCTCATGACATTCGCCCTTAACATATTTATAAACATTAATTAGGTCTCCCCTCAGTCTCCTCTTCTCCAAGCTAAAGAGACTCAGCTCCCTCAGCCTTTCCTCATAAGGGAGATGCTCCACTCCCTTAATCATCTTGGTGGCTCTGTGCTGGACTCTCTCAAGCAGTTCCCTGTCCTTCTTGAACTGTGGGGCCCAGAATTGGAGAGAATATTCCAGATGTGGCCTCACCAGGGGAGA